CAAAACTTCTAGAATTTTTCTGACCAACAAAGAAACACACGACTGCCAAATTTCACGAATCTAACTTTATTATTTTTTCAAATATTTAAAGTTAGCTTAAGGACTTCTATGTCAACTACGCGAACCTGTCAACCAATTTCACTAGAACTTAAGAAATATACCTCCCGTACAATTGGACACACGACTGCAAAGTTTCATGAATCTGAGTTTATTATTTTTCCGGATATATAAAATTTGCTTTTCGATTTGTGTGGCAGCCACCCTAACCGGTGCAACCATCCCATTAAAATTTTTAGAGTATATGTAACGTTGAATGTAATTTGACAAACGTATACAAAATTTCATATTTATACCTTAATTAGTTTTTGAAATATTTAGAATAAACTCTTGGTGTTGTATGACAGCTACCCGAACCCAACGTGTGCAACTTGGTCCAATTACAATAGGCCACATCATAATAAAAAATTTGACAATCACATTCATAATCAAAATTATAGGAATAAAAATAATATTTATAATAAAAATATCAATAATAATAATAATAATAATAATAATAATAAATAATAATAATAATTATAATAATAATAATAATAATAAATAATAATAATAATAATAATAATAATAATAATAAATAATAATAATAAATAGTAATAATAATAATAATAATAATAATAATAATAATAATAATAATAAATAGTAGTAATAATAATAATAAATAATAAATAATAATAGTAATAAATAATAATAATAATAATAATAATAAATAATAATAATAATAATAATAATAATAATAATAATAATAATAATAATAATAATAATAATAATATTAATAATAATAATAATAATAATACATAATAATAATAAATAATAATAATAATAAATAACAATGATAATATTAATAAATAATAGTAATAAATAATAATAATATTAAATAATAATAATAATAAAAATAATAATAATAATAATAATAAATAATAATAATAATAACAAATAACAATCACTATCATTATTTAAAAAAAAAATATGAATGTATTAGAATTGAACATTTTAAAATTTTTCGTTCGAATAACTAGAAAAAAAATTCAAGTACAAACATACATAATTATGAATGCATACCCATTTTTTTAAAACTGTAGGTGAACATATAGAATTCAATTTTTCAAATAAAGAAAAGGTAAAGGCAAAAACAAAATAACAATTGTATTCAAATATATGTATGTACATATGAATGTATTAGAATTTAGCATTTTACAGTTTTTCAATAAAAATAAAACTTTAAGTACATACGTACAAAAATTGTGTATGCATATTTTTTTAAAGTTTGTTAATATGTCAAATATATGTATGTACATATGAATTTATTAGAATTTAGCATTTTACAGTTTTTCAATAAAAAAAACCTTTAAGTACATACGTACATATATTGTGTATGCATATTTGTTTAAAGTTTGTTAACAATATTAACATAATATTCAAAACAATAACAAATGAAGCATTAATATTCAGTTGCCACAAAAAATCTGATGTCTTTGATAAAAACTAATATTTATTTAAGCTTATTTCGATTTTCCGAACTAAAAATCTGTGAGATAATTATATTTTCAAATATTATTTATTTCTCAGTTTGTTTCTAATAATATAACGTATTATTTATTTCTTTGTTTGTGCTTCTAATAATATAAAGTATAAAAGAACAACTAAAATTAACAAAGCTTTAACCTTCAAATCAATATCAGCGAGTTTCCGTTCTAAATATTTTTTCTGAAAACACCTTATTTGAAAAAAGTTTAATGCAATAGAATAACACTATGAAGCCCCTAGTGCGAATCGCACTAATTTCAAATATTTTTGAAAACAAATTTTTAAAAAAAAACCTAAAAAACTTCATAGAGTCCGTGTTCACCTGTGGTGACTTACTTTAAGTCGCCATAACACAGAGGTAATCCTACAATTTAGAGAAACTAAGTACATGTGTAATTAAAAGAGCTACATATATAAAATTTTAGCCTTTTTTCCGGAAAAATACAATTTATCAGCAACGATTCTATTTTTGGCATTTTAGATTTGCTCACTGGTAATAATTAATCAGTGAAAAATTATTAGCTTTAAAAATTTAAATATAGTTATTGTTCTTTTTCTTCACTATTATAACCCCGATATTGAGAAGTATCATAAATTCAACCAATTGGGGGATCAACCAAAAAACAGGGAAAGGAGAAAAATTAGTGAAAAGAAAAGAAAGTTTTGTAGCATCATTGCATTAACATTTCACAAAGAAATTATATTAGCAGTAACAGTTTTTGACATAATCATTTTTGTGCCTAATCGCTTTAAGAAAGGCACATCGTTTTAAAAAGCATTTTTTTTTTGGTTTGTAATATGCATATTTTTATGTACATATTAAGAAAAAAAAAAGAAAAAAAAATTTTATAAATTTTATAAATTATCGACACAACAAAAATAATTTCACTCAAACATAATTGCACTCATTCTCAAAATTAATAAGAGAAACACTCATACACTCAAGTCATACGAAGTTCCCGTAAGAAATTTAGAATAAAGTAAATGATCGCAACATAAACCCAACCGTAAGTAAAGTAATTAAATGCCATTTTGACCTATTAAAAAATAATTAAAAAACAATTTTAAAAGAATTGTTTTAAAAAAAAACAATAAAAAAAAGGAAAACCAAGAACGTATATTTTTCGGGAGATCAAAATCAAAATATATCGTCGAAATTTAAAGTAATTTTCTTTAACCAATTAATCATTAGAAATATAAAATAAAGGCCTAATAATAAACAAATAATATTATAATTCACCTTAAAAGAAAATAATTAAAAAAAATAATAATAATAGAAAATTATAAAAAAGAAAAATAATAATAATATTATAATAATAATTTTAATAATGATAATAATAGTAATAAAAATAAGAAATAAAAAATGAATACATAAACTTAACAAATTTAATATTTAATGAATAAAAATATCAAAAATTAAAAAAAAAATTAAAGTCAAATATAAATCGCTAATAATTTAATATCAATAATTTCAACTAAAGAAAATAATAATAGAACTTTGAGAATTCATTGCCTAATTAAAAACAATAGAATAACCTAAAAATTATCTAAAATTAATAAACTAAATCTCAATAATTAATTAAGAATCCAATAAGTAAATCAAAATAGTATCACATATAAAATTAACTTAATTAAAAATTAAAATAAAAAACATTTATAAATCATACTAATTAAGCTATGCAAATATAAATATAAAGATGTTTGGCAGAAAGAATAAAAAAATTCTACAGCATTCAACGAAGAAAGTTTTTGAAAATGAAATTACTCGTACTTACGATGACATAATTAGCATTTTACCAGAATTTAGTGGCACAGATGAGTACAACATTCAACTTTGGATCAATGAGATAGAAAGAGTATCAAATGAAATGAGCTGGTCCGCAGCTCAAAAATTTTTATTCCCAAAAAGACTTTTAAAAGGGTCAGCTAAATTGGCCCCGTGATTAAACCCCTATTTTAGAGACAGGAACGAATTAAAACAATTCTTACTTGAGGAATTTTCGCAACACATAAATTCAGCTGACTCTGACAAGCCATTAGTAAAAAGAAGGCAGCAAAGAAGGCGAAACTGTTTCAGAATACTTTTTAAAAATGAGAGAAATTGCGTCAGGAGGAGAAATTACAGATGAAACAACTATTATACAATACGTAACAGATGCAATTTATGATGATCAAAGAAACAAAACATTTTTATATGGCGCAAGGAATTTTGGAGAGTTTAGAGAAAAACTTCAACAATATACACGATTCAAGCAGAGCCTCAGGTATGCAACAAAAGAGAGTACTAATCAACAAAAGATTTTTGGAAACCAAAAGGGCTTCAAACAACAATACAACGAAAAATATATTAATAGAGAGGTCACAAAACAAGAAATTAAATATTTCAAATGCGGTGAAATTGGCCACAAAAGCAATATTTGCAAAGAAACGAGTAGCAAATGTTTTAAATGCAAAAAGACAGAGCATTTCACACACGAATGTAATAAAGAGAATTTCAACAAAATCAGTGAATGCAAAGTATTAAAGCGAGAGAGCAAATTTGACAAAATAGTAAAAGTAAATGAAGAATCAGTACTAGCAATAATAGATACATTCAGTGATGTAACATTGATTAATTACACAGAATATATTAAAATAGGTTCACAAAATATAACCGGAAATCCTATCAAACTTCAGGGTTTGTCTAGATCGGCAGAATATACGAAAGGTAGTTTCTTTGCGGAACTTGAAATAGATAAAGCATTATATGCAGCAAAAATACAAAAAGTTTCAAATGCAATTATACGAACACCTATGATAATTGGCAAAGGTGTATTAAAAGGCATTATGATAACATTATCCGAAAATGGTGTAAATATAGAAAAAGTGAAGAGAGAAATTCAAGAGGAATTTCTAAATTGCTACAATGTTACCAATGTAAACGTAGAGGTCGAAAATAAAGAGTATAAAGAGAAAATTGAAAAGCTAGTAGAGAATTATATTCCAAAACAGAGTTCGGATTCAGCAGTACAAATGAAGATAATCTTATCAGATGAAAAACCTATACAACAGGGTCCTAGAAGAGTAGCACCAACAGAGAGAAAAATAATAGAGAGACAGTTAGCTAAACGATGGTATTACTCGTATAAGAGCAAGCATAAGAGCAATTGAAGAAAGCAGTAAAAAGTGCACTTCTTTTGTAACCCCAAGCGGTCAGTTTGAATTCAACAAAGCACCACTCGGACTAAGTTCATCTCCTGTAGTATTTCAAAGATTCATTAACAATATTTTCAAAACTCTGGTTAAAAAGGGATATATACCAATTTATCTAGATGAT